GTGTTTCCACCTCAAGAAAAAAGGAAGTCTAGCACATTGTTCATGTTCATACACTGCACAAAGTAGTTCTTACAGGATTTGGTCGTCGGAAGAAGCGACGCTTTTGGCGTTGGAAGCCTGTACGTCTCGATAAGGTAACATTGATCTAATCTAAAATGCGCCTATATATATCTTAATTATCTACATAAAGGGGGAAATTAGTAATGCTGCTGCGAGGAGCCGGACTTGTTTTACCACAGTTCTTGAGGTGAAAACGGGTATAGTAGGCTAACTTTTGCCATACTAATGGCTGGAAAAGAATATTCACTTTCGCTGCAGTTAAAAATTCTTTCTTTACTGGCCCCTTTTTGCTGAATTAGTTTGTTTTAATGCTAAAAAAAGAATGAATCAGTCCTTTGGCCCGAGGTGCGCAGACTTAGATACTGAACCGAAATTTTGAGGTCACAAAGCAGGGCTGGAGCGATATGCGGGATGCTGCAGAACCCAAAAACACTTCATACAGCGATGTGTCTAATGGATGGCCGCATTTTTGGAAAAGAAATGTGTGATTGAACACAGCTGACAAGACGTGCGTCACGATTCTCAATCTCTCTCCTCCTTGCTTCGTCCCATCGAGCTGGTGAACCAAAGTGAGGCCGCTTCCCCTCACTCTCAACTGTTCCAGGACTATTGAATCGTCAGAGTCCTGGAACTGGAATTGATGTATGAGTGAAGTTTTGAATTTGTAGCATCCCGTTGAACACTTCTGTGACCTCATTTAGCGAAATCCAAATTTCTGTTCAGTATCCTTTTCCAGCCGCATACTCTCCCAAAAAAAAAGTCGTTTTATTTTTTCCGGGGTGATTTATTACGGTGTCGGAAGACTACCCAATCCATATTCAGAACAAGGGGCCAGATGGCCTGGTGCCTATCCTTTGCTGCCAACGTTAATCATGGCCAGGCGCTGGGGTTGGCAAAGTAGAAAACGCCTGCTGAGCTCCAGGTATTGGGGTATTGTCAGAGTTTGTCTATTTTTATCACCGCAGTGGTTGGACACGAGCCATTAACCGAGTGGCCTCTGAGGCATTGATTGTTAGAGCCGAAGTTGTGCTCAGATACTAATCGTGTCTATTCCATGAGCCGCACTTGACTCGTCAGGCGGGTAGTTTCGATCCCACAACTGTCACCAAGCTTTACAAAAACTAGACTTTTATCCTCGCAATTTCACTGTGATAAGGAAGCTTCTGAATCGGGTGATCCCTGCAAAGTCATGAACATTCCAACCTGATATCGTTTAATGACCCCTTTAGAGGGGTAGTGCAACAATTTTTGGACTTCGGCCAATTACCTGTGGGAATAATCGCTCTCACCTGTGGAATGAAGAACAGAAAACATTTTTTCTTGCGCATGCCAGTCCTTATTTTTAAAAAATGAAGGTCAAAGGGCTTTTCAACTTGCACAGTCTTTCGAGTGATGTCTCTAAAGGGCCGGGCCACCTAGTTTCCCATGGGGCTCAGTGTTCCCCAGCCGCTTCCTCCACGATTGTCAACTTTTCAAATATTAGCACCACCGTTATGTTATGGCAAGCGATCGACACAAAAGCTGGTTCTCCACGGGGCTGATGGCGAGTTTATCTGTGGAGGGGGATATATATTTCGTTGACTTCTGCGTGTCACCCTGTGATCCGCCACCGTAGTTACCATAACCGCCAAACACAGCTGCAGATCGGCAAATAATTAGTTTTTCCCTTGTCATTACTCAGCGGAATCGCAATTTTTCTGGGGAAGGTGCACTTTGTGCCTAGATAAACTATAAAAAATGCCAACGGCAAATTCTTGGAACGTGTGTGGCAAGTTTGGGATTTAAGGCGTTTGCTCAAGTTTCCTGCCTGTCGAATCGTCAGTGGTCATTTCCACCACAGAGAGGCCAAGGGCAATTGGCCCCGCGAGAGGTGCTTCGCCGCTGATAAAACGCAGTCGGAAGGGGTGGAGCGAAGGAATTCTCTTGCTGCTACCCGTCTCGGATAATTACACAACACACCTGATCAAAGACACTCAATCGACCATGCTCATGTGGTCAATTGCCCTTGGCCCCCCCTCAGTGGATATGACCACTGACGATTTGGCAGGCAGGCAACCTGGGCCAACGTTTTGGATCCCGAGCATGCCCACAAGCATTAAAATTGTTGCTGGCACAGCAGCAATTTTAATGTTTGTGATGAGTCATGTTTTGGCCAGAGTCCATGCCAAGTGCTGACTTGGTGCTTTTATTAAATTTGTGAGCCAGAATTTGCTAATGCATATGCATTTTGGTCTTGCTATTATAAACATATTGTGGACCTTCTTTTTTTTTTTTTGGAGAGGGGGGGGGGAAGAAGAGAGAGGGGTGGCAACAAAGGTGTCTATATTTACGAAACAGGACGGTAGTGGCTAGACTGGATTTCACAAAAGGTTTGCGACACTATAATAAATTAAACATTGGATTCTACTCCTCTCAAAACCACATGGTTTCGTCTAGTAGTCTTGCATTTAAAAATTTTTGGCTCCTTTTAATATTGGGCAATAGTTTTCTCTTGTCAGAATGTAAGCATATGCCATTTAACATGAAAATTGTATTCTTGTCAAGTGTTGGGATAAACGACAAAACCAGAATACAAAATAGTTTCCAATCTGACTACTGTTTTTTTTTTTTTTCTTTGACCTTTTATTAAAATCTGAATGCAGGTATTCTGGTGAAATTATTTACTCGCGTATAGGTCGACCTGTTTTTCAAAAATCGCCTCATCAAAACTGGGGGGTCGACCAATACGCGAATCCCGGTATTATATTTTTCAACTTTTTTTTTTTTTTCGGGGGTCCCGAAGTTAGGGGGTCGACCTATACGACGTATCGACCAATATGCGAGTAAATACGGTACTCTTCTTTCATCAAAAAAATAAATAGGCACATCTCTTTTTTTTTTTTTTTTTTCATTCTTTTGGTTTTGCGTTGGGCCTTCAACAATAGCTGTCTAGCTACTGAAACATATATAATAGTTTGGTCATCAAAATTGAGGGGAAAAAAAGGAACTAGCAAGGAATTGGCTCCAGCGGAACACGTGTTATTGCCAATTTCTTTAAATCGGGTACCTGTCTAGGCATGCCTCTTTTACTTAAATATATATATATGGTCATGTGAAATGTATGACTGATTGTTTTCTAGCATTTAAAGCATTTATTTTGAGAGGTGGTGTGCCTTGATTCCCCAGTAAACTCAATCAATACATATCTTTGTTTTCTCTAGCAGTGATTCCCAGCTTTAAATTTTTTTTTTTCCTGCAATTTTCTAAAGATTTTTTTTTTTTTTTTTTTTTTTGTGGTAGGTTCTTGTACGAATATAGAGGGTACATGAACTTCTGTTCATACTTTGGCGTCTTTCTGTACAGTTAGGATAGTTGAAGGTAATTAGTAATATTTAAACTTGAAGGTATAGGTTTAACAGCTTTCTTCTTGGTTAGGGGGGAGACAGACAAAAATAACAAACTAACCGCGAGTTCATTAAACAGTATCCAACGTTTAGGGACAGATTCGAATGGTTAATTTGCTATGCGGTGCATACACTGCATAGTCCCCCACCCATAGGGAGTGGGGAAGCACCTGTATTGCTTGATATTTCCGTCATTCTCTTCTATAGTTTGCCAGGTCTTCAAAGTCTGGTGCGCTATTGGTTTCTTAGCATGATCATTTGTTTAGGCGTACACTTCTAGCTAACCTCATTTTATTGGGTTAAAGAATATTCCTTTGTTTATACTCCCACTGGTAATGGGCTCGTGTGTTCACTGTGCTTATTCGAGGTTCATGTTCTCTTGGGATTTGTATAATTGTTGGCATTCAATTTTAGTGCACTTAGTTGTTTGACAGACCTCAAAATTCTAGAAAACTTGATACTTAATTACTTGTCCTAGGGGTGGGGGGGGCGGTTGCCCTTTCTGTTCCAGTTTGGTTTTATAGTGAATAATTTCTGCTGTTGACACCAGCACTTAGTTGTGGTGCTCATTTGTGTCTGAAATTGTTTTCTGTAGATTTTTCCTAGCTTTTACCATTTCATAGTTTTCAAAGCATACACCTTGTTTTGAAAATTGCATTGCCAGTCTCCTACAATGTTTGTTTCATTGGCATTGTTTTCAAATCCACTTGTGTTAAGCACTATCTGCTAAGGACTATCACACCTGTGATGGACTAACCACTTGGTGTTAGTCTTTTTCGTTGTTGTTCTAAGGTATGGAGGGCCAAGTTACAGAGCTTTGACCCAGGCCGCGTTCCAAAATTTACTCGATCTTACTCCAGGGTAAGGGTTTCCCTTGGCGTTTTAAAACCTACCCGCGTCCAGCATTTTTCAATCTGTGCTGTCACGTGATACGATCCGCCGGAGTAACTCTGATCCATTTGGGTAAGATTTGGAACACAGCCCCAGTAGTTTCGACCTTTCTGTCCAAATACTTGACCAAGGCATGAAGCTGCGCTCTGACTCTTCGTAATACTTTTGTCTGCAATGCTGCCTCATTCATTTGTTACAAGTAAACTGTTCAGCAACAGTTCATTTGTAACCAAGGCAGCAGGCTCTTGACTCTCAAGCATGCACACTTCAGGAACTACATTCTACTGTTCTAAAATTCTTCCCTTTTTTTTTTTTTTTAAGTGTAATTAAGTTAGGGGGGTTTATATCTGGCTTCCAATTTAAAAGTTGTGGTCTGTACAAAGTCCTATCAAAAGCTGCTGCATAGCTTTTCTGGTATTCAGCTTTTGTCTTGCATTCTTTAATAATTGTACGGAACATTTGAATCAATTATGGTAAGCGATTTGCTACAACGATAGAAGAATGTAATTATTTCGGCTGTTCTCTGGAGAATATCTTTTATCTGCTGTATTCTTCGGGCCCTGACCGTTTATCGAACCATTTGAGGAGAGCGTGCGAACAGTGGGTTGGGTTCCAGGAACAGGGGCAGAGTTGACATTGTTTTATCACCCCCTTTTGCACACATAGGTTCGGTTTGCTGATATCCGAGTTAGATGTCTGGAAGACGAGGCTCCTCCTACCCTCCCCGCCACTCGCCGTACGGCGGTGGCGGCGGAGGAAGCCGCTACGGCCGCTACGAAGAACACAACAGCCACTACAACCAGCATGACGGGCAGCAGGCCCCTCGCCAGCAGCAGCAGTCGCCACATCTCCAGCAGGCGCAGCAGAAACAGCCCATGCCGCCGCCTCAGCAGAAGCCACCCCAGAAGTCACCGGCTCCCCAGAAGACTCCTCCTCCACAGCAACAGACCCCGCCACCGCAGAAGCCGCCCGTACAGCAGCAGACACCGCCGGCAGCACAGAAGCAGCCCACACCGAAGAAAGAAGTGCCACAGACCAACTCCCAGGAGCAGCCTCCTGTCAAGAAGGACCAAAAGCCACCCACACCAGTCACAACACCAAACTCCAACTCCAAGCCAACTGGCGAAAACGCAGACAACTGCAAGCTGTTTGTGTCCAACGTACCGAACGTAATGACCGACGAGATGTTCCGCAAGATGTTTGAGGAGCAGGGGGAAGTGCGCGACATCTTCCTCAACAAGACCAAGTGGTTTGGTTTTGTGCTCTACAAGACTCACGACCAGGCGGAGAAAGCACTGAAGGCACTTGATGGCGCAGAGAAGAATGGTCGCAGGCTGCGCGTGCGCTATGCCACGCAGCAGAAGCCGGAAGAGCTGAGGGCGGCACAGGCCCTGCAGGCTGCCCAGGCGGCGGGCCAAATGCCCCCGGGCCCCTTCCCAGGAGGACAGGGTGGCTACCAGGGTGGTCCGGGATTCCCCCCGCAGGGTGGCATGCAACAGTCTCCTCAGCAGGGTATGGCCCCGCCGCAGCCCAAGCGCAGCGGAGCTCGCTGTCGTCTTTTTGTGGGCAACCTTGCTCCCTCCATGACCGAAGAGGAGTTTCGAAAATTGTTTTCCGCTTACGGCGAGCTGGTTGAGGTGTTCTTGCACTCCCAGAAAGGATTTGGCTTTATCAAGTACGAGCAGCGCCAGCAAGCGGAGGCAGCCAAGACAGCACTCGACAATGTTCCCCGGGATGGCAAGTACCTGCAGGTGCGCTTTGCCACGCAGGGGTCTTCGCTGAAGGTGAAGAACCTTAGTCCGTTTGTGTCTAACGAGCTGCTCGAAGACGCCTTCTCCATCTTTGGGGAAATCGACCGCGCCGTTGTGATTGTCGACGACCGTGGCCGCTCGGTCGGGGAGGGCATCGTCGAGTTTGCGCGCAAGACGAGCGCCATGGCGGCCCTGAAGAAGGCCACGCAGGGCTGCCTGCTGCTAACCAGCTCACCCCGGCCTGTGCTGGTGGAGCCCCTGGACCTGCGCGACGAAGAGGACGGCTTTCCAGAGAAGAATGTCAACAAGAACAACCCACAGTTCCTCAAGGAGCGTGAGGTGGGCCCACGCTTTGCCGAGCCGGGCACCTTCGAGTTTGAGTTCTCCAGCCGCTGGAAGAAGCTGCTGGAACTGGAGAAGCAGAAGCGGGAGTTCCTGGAACGAGAGCTCGAGGACGAGCGCCGCAAGCTTGAGGAAGAAATGGAGTACTACCGCTACGAGCATGAGACCCGACTGCTGCGTGAACAGCTTCGCATCATGGAAGAACAGAGCAAGATCTTTGCCCACGAGCGAGAAATGCGCTTGCAGGAGCAGAAGCGCCGAGACGAGATCCGCCGGCAAGAAGAAATGCTCCTGCGCCAGCGTGAGGAGGACATCTTGGGCTTCCCCCGTCGCGAGCAGGGCCAGGCACAGCACCCACAGCATCCCCAGCACCCTCAGCACTCGCAGCACTCGCAGCTTGCGGAAGTGGCTGCTGCCGTTGCAGCCGTGGCTGCCCAGACCAAGCCCCAAGTGGAGGGAGCCACTTTTGTGAGCTCGTACGACAATGGCGGCCGTACGGAGTTTTCCCGCTTTGATCAACCAGCCCCTGGCCACTTCGGCGGGCCCGACGATGGCCGTCGTGCCGTTGTCGATGACTACGCCGACAGAGATCCCAAGCGGCGTCGCTACTGAGCCATCGTGCAGCCAATGCGCTCTTTTATGGGATTTGTCTTTGTTTCCTCGTGCTCTCTCGATTCTGTTGACATTGTCGTGTAATGAAACCATTGTCGTCGTAAGTCTGCATCTACATGATTTTGTGTCATCCATTAAAACATAGCTACCCAGCAGCCTGCATTCCGACCTGATTTGCGTGCTCCGGCATGCGCGGTAGATTGCCCGTATGCCTGCATCGCGGAAACTTTGGACCTGCGGGGTCGTATCCTTTCTCACCGTCGGATTCTAGGAGCATCCATCGAGGACTGGATATTTTTTATGTAGTTACAGGCCCTTTTCCCAGTGCCTTCTTACTTCCTATCTCTATTGGAAGCACATATGTCAGCCTTTTACAAAGCTTGGCATTGTGAAATCCCCAAAAGATTAAAATGATCTGCCAGGAGTTAACGGACCAAAGCACAAAGGGGCATATTCTGCTGCTTGAATTTAGGCGAACCTTCATCATTTTTCTATTAAAGGGGCCATGAAACAAATTTTGGGTTGGGATGAATGATTTTAAATTGGGACTTTACTAATCGCATATTGTTTAGTTGGCCAAAAGAAAGAGGCTAGAAAGTCAAAGGCCAGCTTTTCGGTACGAGCATTTGAAAACATAGCGGACTATTTTGTACCTTCTTGCCTTCGAAAGCTCTCCGCCTTTTCACGATGATACATCTGCGGTTCCAAAAGCGAGTCACCGGCGCCAAACTGACATCAGCAGAGCCCAGCTCACGCATTGGACACGAGAACTGCGTCACCGGGCGTATGTGCTCGTCAACAATCAATCCATCGACGAATATTTGGATTCGCGTTCGTGGCCAATGAGTGCCCCGACGGAATTTATTGTCACTGGGGAATTGTGGATAAAAAGCACGGTAAAAGCTAGGAGTCATCGCACCGGTGCCGAAGGAATGTCACAACGACGTGATTTCTCAATTCGCATTTGAGTTGAGGATTAAAGCTAAGGAGGAAGAAGTAAGAAAATCGTTTCATGACCCCTTTAAGGGTCCATAGTGATTTTGCAGAAGTCTCTTGCAAGTAAAAGCTTGTTGTGTAGCAAGTACCCTCCCATTGCATTGGCACAGCCCTCCTAGCTTCAGAATGTGGACATATGGCGGTTGTTTGCTTCCTATTTATCTTGAAATGTTTGCGAGTTTTCGGAATGTTTGCAAGTTTTGGTATAAGATACCCAAGTTTAGTGCAGGTTATGAAAGAGTTCTAGAATTTCGTGCCTCCTCTGCAACCCAAATTACAAGCATCTCATGCTAGCTTTGCGCCAACATGCAATTGCATCTTTTATTGTGCGTGTGAATGGCTGTAACTTGAGGGGAAGAAGAAAGTATATTTGTATAATTTGGATAAGAAAATGCAATCTAAGCGGTTCAGCAGTCGTGTCTGCCCACGTCGCCTCACCGAGAGCAGTCTCGTACTGACCTTCGCCAATAGGCATTTGCCTCTTGTGGCACGCAACCTACCATAACTGTGCAGTGTCATCCTGTATTAAAAATCGCCGTCTTGAGTATGCGACAGAGGTCACGGTCACAGCGACGGTGGTCTTGTAAGCTGACTTTTTATTTACACGGGTTTCAAATGCAGTTAGTTGGTTGTGCCTTTGCCCTCGAAAACTTCTTGTGCTCGCAAGTGCAACACAAAGGCTTTGAGGCGGGTAGGGTACTTGCACAATTTGTTAATGTGATGATTGCTTATGATCTGGTTCAAGTTCGGCACATGCTTGACGCCGCTATTACTTTGGGTACACTGTTCTAAAACTACTTGTACAGGTGTCTATTTTGCGAATGATATTGGAATAAGCTCAATCTTGCAATTATCTCTGCAAAACCACATTGGACAATCGATCTGCATACTCATGCTGAATGTGGTGGTGCTCCAGCATAGCATACAGCCTGTACTATGTTTCATGGTTTTATATGTAAGGTTGTGGTATCAGCCCAGCTTCGCCTAGCATCTTATTTGGGCAAGTTCTCGCTCAGACTAAAAGCATGTTAAAACTGTGCTTGTGCCAGCACCAATCTCATTTCACCTTACGTAAGCAATGTTTAGACAACTAAACATTTGTCTAATTTGAATCTTAGCTGGAAAATGTGGCAATGGGATCGGCGACCTTTTTTACTCTGGTCTACTTATACCAGGTGTAAAAGGGAACAGGCCCTGTTCTATTGGGGTGAGCAAACCCTGCGTGCTTCTACCCGGTTGCTCGAAGGGTAGTTTAAGTGTGGTGCTGAGTGGGCAGTATGCAAGGACCCTCCACTTGTGTATGCTGAGCTGGCTAAGGGAATATACTTGGAGGCAGTCTGCTTCCTCCAGAATTTTTCCCAATGGGCAATTGTGCATTTTCTGTGTGCGTGCACTGTGCTTTTCCAGGCCGTTCCCTACCACCTCTTCCCAGAAAGGTACATGGCGCGACGCATTTAGCGTGAACCAGCAACCATCGGTTTTCCTTTTTCTTTTCAATCATCAAAACTATATTGTAAAAAATTCTCATTTGGGGCACTAACCTCAGCTTTAAAGGGACCATGAAATGACCTTTTTACTTTTTCCAGATAACTTTTACATTAAACCGTCAATGTTCACTGAATGCCGAACAGGCATCCGTTTTCGTCTCGGTTTATTAACTTTTACACAAAAAATTATTGAAATATTGACTTTTTCATTCTCTCCAACTGACCGCAAAAGAAGCCGTGACGTAGACCGTTTCCGGAACCGGAAGTTCTCTCGGCAGTAGGAGAATGGGAGTGTTAGCGGCAACGAGTTGGGGTGCGCCGGTAGGTTTTACTGCGCTGATGTCACCGACGTATTTCCTGAATCGGCGCCTCTCATCGCCGCATCGCAGCTGAGCGAAATTCAATGAGATATGTTGCGCTACAGCGACAGCATGGGACTAGTCCCATACGGCGGTATGCCTGTTGGGAAGTGCAGCGAGTCTTGTCACCACCCCGTCATTGTTGGCAGAAGGGCCGGCCCGTGTCAGTCGTTTGCAAAGCGACGTAGGTGGCGTTTTTCGCGGCCTCGGAGATGCAGGAGCGAGCCGACGTGCGAGCCGACGTTAAAAAAGATACGTTTGAACTACGAGTGTCAGCAAGAGCCACGTAAATATCTGCTTACACTCGGAGCGGACGCGCGCGCTTGATGGAAGTCTTGTATTCGCGCTGTTGGTAAGCGCTTCGGGACCGTTCTTTTACGATTGCAACTCGATACTGACGCGACACTCGGCAAAGAAAGGTTGGACCGGGGTCGACAGTGACGTGCAGTCTGTCGGAATAAAAATGGCATACCAATAACAAAGTGTACATACCGTGTTACGAAGGCAATCCATACGGCGTTTATTTCAGCTCTATATCACACAAAACAAGAAGATAGAATCGACGAGAGTCCCTTTTCGACGAGTGTTCGTCAACACTGCCTCGGAAAACAAGGGGAAGAGATTGACCTCCTCACCTCTTAATCTAGAATTGAGGTCAGTGATCAAACTATAATACGGGAAGGGTCCACAAGGGTCGCGCGGGCATATTCCATTTAGCACGCCAGCCGGTCGTAGGCAGACGGTCTTGCGACGAAGCAACGCAGCGCCGAGTCGGAATGCCTGCTAGGCCTATACGCTTCGTCGGAGTCGGTGAATCCAGCGTTCTTGTTCGTCGTGGTCTGTTTTAAGTACTGTTTTCTTGCTGCTTGAAGTCGGCACGCGCGGGAAGAACACGTAGAAAAATAAACGTTCAGTCAGTCAGAGTTTTGAGAGGAAGGAAAACAAAGAAAATGAATGTTCGTCGGTCGCCGTCACCCAAGTAACTGGCGGCCCTGCCCTACTGCGCACGCGCAGTAGTTGCTTCGTTTACCACACGATAGATGGCGCTTGGCTCTCAGCATTATCAAATTTGGCAATTTTCGCCACACATCTCTAATTATGCTACAAAATGTGGATCTGAATATTATTTAACAAAACTTTTAGGAAACATTCGCCGGCTATTTATTGTTTACGATCGCGGTGCTGGTGAGGTAGGCTCTTACCCAATAGGCGATGTGGATTCGGCTGACGTGCACCGATTCTGCGTATGCATCGTAGTGAACAGGCGAAGGAAGGAAGGCGCAAAAGAGTCCAGTTTTCTTTTAAAAGTTCTATAGCAAATAATTTTTTTGGGCTCCCTATTTTTGTGTTTTTGTGTTTCTTTTCACACCTTTTACGACGTGCGGTGGATGAAACTCGATTTTAAAATCATTTCATGGTCCCTTTAATAACATGGTGTCCGCCAATACCCTTTAAAGTGCGGAAATGCACTAATTGTTTGCGCTAAAACTGTCGCGCAATGCACGTCAAGCAGGGCCCTCTCCTAGCGTACTATGTAGAACCTCGACTGAATCTGCACTTTGAAAAAAAATCGGGAACGGAAATTAATGGCCTGCCTGTCTTCCTATCGGAAAGTACAGTTCAGAAAACTATGCTTATAATTTCCCGCTGAAAAGCGGGGCGTGCAGTTTTACATAAGAGTTCTTGGCTGTTACGCTTAAACAAAATGTAACAAGTTCAGCTGGTAGTCCTTTGATGGTATTGGTGTAACACCAGCAAACCGAAAGGCTTAGTAACAAGTCGAACGAAGCCACTCTCGAACCAGCAGACTAATTATATTGGGTGTTTAAGTCAAATAGCATTCAAAAATTTATATTGGTAAAAAAATTTTTTTAACTTGTTGTTTAGTACAAATTCATGATTTTCTGAAAGGATACTAACATTAATTTCATTCCTATAAAAGCCATGTTTTATGGCATCTTTATAGAATGCAAAATAGGAGGAAAATTAGTTTTGGATTTCTGCTAGTTACTGGACTTGAAAATTTCCTCTGGACAACCTATTGTACTCCTACACCTGATCCTAGGAGCCCTGTGCAGTGTTTCAGTAGACAGAGTTGCATGTTGTCAGCTTTACAAAGCCAGTGCTCAGGCCAACAAGGCATTTTACTTTGCTGCACTTTCATGCCAGTGCCTTTTATGGTGTTCTACATATGCGGTGAGATGGCATATAGAGCTGATAAACTAAATGCCCTGAATGAAGGTGCTTGCCTACCTTTATGGTGGCATCACTATGGTACGACAAACCTTGGTAACAACACCTAGGAACTTGGGA